CACTGGATAGACTGGATAGCTGGCCAATCAGCGTACACCTCGCTTTTCAGAACGATGAGCTTTGTAAAAATTCAGAAAGGCGGGGCATAGAGGAGAAACAATAATGTACAGTATGTGGGAAATAATGTGTTTTTTTAACCTTAAACCACATAAACACATTGCATTACACCAAATAGACTAAAACTATGAAAGACTCAAATGACTAAAATGTGACTAAGACTATTAAGCATTTTCGTCTCAAGATAAAGACTAAGACTAAATCAAAAGTGCCTGTCAAAATTAACACTGGTGTGACACAATAGAGCTAGATTATTCCCATTAAGGTCAGCTAGGTTGTATACACTGCAAGTGATGCAATCTGCTTTAGGGAGTTTTAATCCTTCAGGCATTGTTCATAAATTTGTGGTTTTGATTGCATTAGAGCCTGTGCGCCCAAATAATTTTTGCTCACAGTAGAGCACTGGAATCTTGCCTTTGAATGTGCTGCCCATGAGGGAGAATGCTCAGAATCAGCACACATATTCAGTGCATATGTAATACGAGTTCATTGCACCTGGATGAAAAACCCAAGTACTGTCATTCTCACCCACCTTTCATTGTTGTCCATTGTAGAATATCATTTTCGAGCAGGTTACTGCCATCCTTGACTGTATTTGTGGTGTATCCATGCTGATCACCTTGGGAACAGCAGCGACCATTACACCAATTTAGTAGTCAATGTGTTGATTTTATAACATTATACTAATCTATTCCATGGAGTCTTACTGCACCACAGCCTGTATGACCAAGAGCAAATTCGCAGCTGCTGCACAGAGTGAGTAGATAATCACAACCCAGAGCTGATGCTGTCACTCTCACTCCATGGGTGCCATACGGCCTACTTTTGTGTTCTCCTAATGCCTACGTTTGATGTGGTTTCATAACACATGTTGAATATGCAAAATGTTGTCCTTATTTGTTCTGCAGTACATATAATGTACACAATGTCGATATTAGCTCCTTTCACAGGCAGGCAATTTGAGTCCTGCTTTAAGATGTGTACCTATTACAAACTCTGAGTCAGAGATTTGAGGTCAGGAGAACTGTGTATCTGTTATAAATGTCAGCTCATGTTTGATCTTGTTTGTATTTGTAGATTCTGAGCCCTCATGCCACTTCTGTAAGAGAAATGCATTACCTCAGTACCAGGCAACTCTACCTGAAGGGAAGGTTTTGAGCTTCTGCAGTTCACAATGTGTCACCAAGTTTCAGGTACTTCAGTTGCCTTTAAAGCTTGTGTTATATGAAATTTCTGTAGAACCTTGAGTAGAAGAACACAAGCTAGTAAATGCGTCATTAAATCTTAGGAATGTCTAAGTACGAAATTGTAATGTTCTGCTGGTGGCTTTATTATCCAAATGTCTCCTGCAGAATGCCACCATCCAAACATCAGCCAATGGGCAATTTCCTGCTTCAGCTTCTGAGAACATCCAGCTGAAATGTAACTACTGTCGTGGTTCCTTCAACCTGAAGCCAGAGATTCTGGAGTGGGAGGTGAGATCTCGCACATACATTTCAACTAGCCCATTTTTTTTTTTTTTATATGTAAACCGTTAAAGGAGTATTTCCCTCTAAATTAATTCAAAATCAAATTACAGATCATATAACAGCATGGGATCTTGAGACTTGAAAGATCTGGATACAAAGGACACATCTAAGCACTATTAAAGTAGTCCAAGCAAATGTTGATGTTGATTGAGGCCAAGCATATTATGGTGTTATTAAAATTTTTGGACAAACTGTTATTTTAAGGATTTGAGTAGCCAAAGATTAAAGTGTGATTTATATCTGATCCCTGCAGGATAAGGTGTATCAGTTCTGCAGTAAGACCTGTTGTGGGGACTACAAGAAGCTCCACTGCATAGTGACGTTCTGTGAATACTGTCAGGAAGAGAAGACTCTGCATGAGACTGTGAAGTTTTCGGGTGTTAAGAGGCCCTTTTGTAGTGAAGGTCATTATTCTGTTCTGAATTTCTGTCTGAGTTTAACAGTACATTGTCCTGTGATTAAATCTATTGATGTTCACATCATGACATGTTGTGATTTTATCTTTAGGGTCTGAGGACAATGTTCTAGTGAATTTGACATATTTGAGATATTAAACTTTACTACATTTATCCATCATGACAGGAGTGATATTTCAGGCAGTGTTTTTGTTCGTTCTGCAGGATGTAAGTTACTGTTCAAGCAGGATTTCGCCAGGCGTCTGGGCCTGAAGTGTGTCACTTGCAACCACTGCACCCAGATGTGTAAGAAATCTCTCACCAAACAAATAGACGGAGTCAGCAGGGACTTCTGCAGTGAGACGTGTGCTAAAAAGTTTCACGACTGGTACTACAAGGTACACTGATCTTCGTCTAATTTGATCATTCATAACTTTGGGATCATGTGATCAAGCCCTGGTAGTGGTGCTGCTTCTTCACAGACCACAGGGGAGGCAGGGGACTGACATATTTTGTTAAGCTGACAAAAATGGCCTCCTCTAGATTAAAATATACCCATTAAATGTATGTCTATTATGAGGGATTAACTTATTTCTTATCAGAGATCCTGCATATTTTGAACTATTTCTTGTTATATTATTGGTTCTAATCATCTGTGCTGCAGTACTTTGAAATCCCTGCATTTATGTGCCATGTCCACTAGGCGGCACGCTGCGACTGCTGTAAGGTACAGGGGAACCTGACGGAGTCTGTGCAGTGGCGTGAAGAGATGAAGCGTTTCTGTGACCAGCAGTGTCTTTTGCGCTTCTACTGCCAACAGAACGAGCCCAACATGGCCACGCAGAAAGGCCCAGAAAACACAGCTTTAGGTACAATTTAAAACCCCCTGGAAATGTGCATGTCTGAATCATGCTGTCATGTTTAAAATTAAATCCTTTGGTCCATTTACAGGGTTTGGAGGAGCAACCCAAGCATCTAAGATGGTGAGGGTGCTGTCAGTTTTGACTGAATCATTGTTAAACACAAGAAGCTACAAATTGGCATGTTGCGTAGTCGTTTAGATTGACTTTAGTCCGTTCTTATTGTGACTGTTGCAGTCGTTTACTCAGGGGCCTGTATCGTATGCTGGGGGAGGGATCCTGAAGGATGTGAAAAATAAAGCTGTGCTCTGTAAGCCCCTCACTATGACCAAGGCAACCTACTGCAAACCCCACATGCAGAGCAAACTACTGCAGACAGGTGAGTACCTTCTGCTCTGTGACAGTAAAACTGCACAAACATTTTCTGGAAAAGATGGAGGTTTATGTGCTTCTTATTTGCTTCTCCTCAGATGAGGCAGGTGTGGAGGGCTCAGGAAAGGAGTATGTTCCTGTTCCAATCCCTGTTCCCGTTTACATCCCAGTTCCCATGAACCTCTATGCTCAGGCCACGCCCACTCCTATTGCAATACCTGTACCGGTAAGCGCTCCCTCACAGAATCAAAGTATCACATTGTTTGTAATTGCAATATTTTTAGATGCATGTATATGTAGTTTCAGTAAGGTTATGCCAGTCAGGTTTCTCTTCCAGTTGAAAATACAGTACAATTCGTAGTCAAGTCGATTGGTGAAAATGGTTCATATTGTGCATATTTTATTAATTCATGTTTTTTGTTCGTTTAAATTAAATTGATAATGTATAAAACATAAATGTTTTATTATAACTTATGCTGAATTTTGTCTCTTTTTTTTTTAAATTGATATATTTTATTTTTCCTTTATCTGTTTATTTTATGTTACTCAAACATGAGAATGTTCTGAAAATACATAAAATGTTTTATTATAACTTATGCTGAATTTTGTCTCTTTTTTTTTTTAATTGATATATTTTATTTTTCCTTTATCTGTTTATTTTATGTTACTCAAACATGAGAATGTTCTGAAAATACATAGTGGCAACATGCCTTACCTCATAGAAATGACCCTCATTGCCTCTGTGTTTTGGTACTTTCAGGTGCCTGTACCAGTGTTTCTACCAACCACGCTGCAGAACGCTGAGCAGATTGTGAAGACCATCAGTGAGCTCAAAGCCAAAGTCCCCTCTGACCCTCTGGAAGCTGATCTAATAGCGATGGCTGAAGTGATTGCACAAGAAGATGAGAAACCCAAATGCTCAAGTAAGAACATGTTAGGAGCTGTCTACCTTTGACAGACTGAAGCAGGACTCTACTTGTGTTTGTAACATCACTGCCTTCACCTCAGCAATTAGCTGCTGTTGTTGGTTCTCATTTCTCAGCTTTGTGACACTCTAGTGTCAATTTTACACTTCTACCCTCATAAGCCTGTCATTCCCCTCCATTTATACTGCAACATTTATGAAATGATACAACATTTGTAAATCCAAAAACATTTGAATCTTTTTTTCTAGACATCAAATGTGAAAAGAGCAGTAGAGAAGTGAAGATGGAAAGTGTAAAACATGAAAATGGCAGTGGCAGCTCAGAAGAGGAGGAAGAAGACAAGTATGAACCAGATTTGGACCTGGAGAAGGACATGCCCCTTGGTACAATAGCGCTAAAGGAACTCGCATGTTATTGCGAAAGATTAATGACCTTTTTATAATATTTTGCCTTTTGCAGTCTTGACAAAGATTAAATAGTAAAAGTATATTTCTCTGTTAAACACTGAATATATAATCACTGTTTCCAAACATCATAATTATACATAGTAAAGAAGTGTTGCGCTGGTCTGTTTCAGCATCAGAGCCCATCCTGGTTGAGTGTCTGGATACAGACACACTCTTCTCATTGCCTCCAATCCTGTCGGAGGAGAAAGAGAAGACGCCTCGGCCCAGAACCAGGAGGAGGGTAATGAACACGTCATCTACCTCTATATCACTGCATCCAGTGCTGTCCTGTGATTAGAAATCCATTTGCTGTTCACATGCTGATGTGTCGTGATTGTTGAGGTTCTATATGAGGCTTGTGGCATCACAGAGGGTGATTGTTAACAATGACTGTGTGTATGCTGATGTTTCTGACCTACTGTTGCTGCAGGGCCAGAAGAGGCGGGCAGTAGAGGAAGAGTCTTCATCCTCATCCTCGTCACCAACGGTAGAGTCCTCAGCAGCAGACAGCTCTTTCTCCTTGAACACCAGATACGGCTTAAATGCATGGAGGAGATGGGCCGCATCTGAAGCCTCACCGTCCAGCCCGTCCAAAGGAAAGGAGAGGAAACAAGGTATTCATGATCTTCTTACTAACTTAAATGAGTTAATTCAGTTTGATTTGTTAATTGTAATGCCAGATGGACCCAGGGACATTTTCAAGCTTGGATGGTTTGTTGAGAGACTTTTGTTTGGTTTGAATGTGCTCAATGATTATAACTTCACTGCTGTTGACATTCTGAAACAGTTTTGTTGATCACTTTGAGTTATGAGGGCACTTTTTTTCCATTCTTCTGAATTGAACATAGAATCAGACTTTTGTAAAAACAGGCTTTATGTTGCAACAAGTTTTATTCTTTGGGATAAACCCCTTGAGATGCATCATCTTTTTTTCAAGGGGGTCCTTTATATCATGTTTGTGTGAACAAGCATTTTAAAAATCCTCGAGATAATCTTAAATAATTCTGTATGCTGTACTGATGATGTTGTTTAAGGTGTTTTTTTTTGTGTATGTGTGTGTGTGTCTGTTGAACAGTTAGTCTCCTGTCCCTGGGCCCAGCCGAGCTGAATCAGTCTTTATCTCACTTTGTCAAAGAGGTGCGTCGGCCCCATGGGGAGCGCTATACTCCAGACAGCCTCCTTTACCTCTGTCTCGGCATCCAGAAGGTGAGACTGTCTACAGCCTTTATGCACATGATTATTGTCCATTAAAGCTGTAAATGAGGATCCTTACAGAGCAGAGCCACTTGATTAAAAAAAAATGGAGTAGAGATTGAAATGTTGCACTTTAGTAAACCTCTGCATTTAAAATAAATGAATGCTTTGCTTATGGAAACCCAATATACATCCATAAAAATTCATATATGCAGGCTATACAATTAATTGAAATTCAGAAATTTATTTTTTGAAATAATACATTTTAAAAAATAAAACACTAAAAACTACAATCTATCATTTTAAATACTAAACCAGGGGTGCCCAAACTCGGTCCTGGAGGGCCGGTGTCCTGCAGAGTTTAGCTCCAACCCCAATTAAACACCTGAACCTGCTAATCAAGCTCTTATAGGCATACTAGAAACTTCCAGGCAGGTGTGTTGAGGCAAGTTGGAGCAAAACTCTACAGGACATCGGCCCTCCAGGACCGAGTTTGGACACCCCTGTACTAAACTGTACTACTAAAACTATACTAAATTTAAGAATTACAGCATTACAGTGTACAGTATGAAAATTGATATTCATTTTGAGGTTTGCTAAAATGTACAAATTACATGTAATTTATTAAAAGTATTAAATTTGTGATTTTAAAGATAAAATTTGAGTAAGTATTAGATGATAAAGAATATAAATGTAAAAAGAAGGGAAATTAGCATGCTGAATTAAATATCCAATGTTGGTCGATGCTGATAACTAAAAAAGCTTATATGTGTGATTAATATGCAGGGGTGCACATAAGTGTTGCACAACTGCGCATACGCAGTCAAAATAAAAAATACTCTGAGTCTGGGTAAATAAGTTCAGACTGCTCATTTGCGTACCAACATGGCTGAAAGCTGTTAATGGACAATCACCCTTTTAGATCGACAAACTGTAATACTTTATAAGATTTCCATTCGAACTGAAAGCATAAATCTAGGCTATGCGCTACCGGTTACAGAGCAAAACACAAAACTGTGACATTTCATTCACTGACACACTTCGCCAAAATAAAAGTTCACTGATTTTAGGTTTGAAAATTATGAAAATTCATATAAATAACTAAACAAGTAAAAAAGAAGAAAAATTAAAATGTAAATATTAGCATTGAATTTAAGTGTACTATAAAATAATTGCATTTTTATTTAATATTCACTTTTTATTTTTAAATATAATAGTATTATCACAATTTATTATTGTTTTTTGTTTTAAAAATAAACTAACTAAAAAAATAAAGTAAAACTATTATAACTATTATTAATGATTTTATTTTTATAGTTACATTTGATGAGTCACACTGTGCCGTGTGAGCACCAAACCAAATTTCCAGGTGCTCTCATAAGAACCAGACAAGAAAAGCTTATGTGCACCCCTGCTAATATGGTACCAATATATATTGGGCATCCCAACATCTTACTCCTAGTTCAACACTAAAGTTCCCACCAATTAAAAAGGAGAACTACAGAGACTATGATTAAGTAGTTAAGCTGTATTTAAAACTAAACTCTGATGCAAACTAGGTCTTCGCTTGAGCTCTCCTGGTCTAAGCAGTATCCAGTGATTATATCATTTGCTGTTCACATCCTGAAACATGCTGTTGATGCTTTTGCTATGAGGACACATCAGACTGCTCATTGAAGACTGACCAGTCACCTGTTATTAAAAGCATTTGTCTTGCAATCAAGGTGTTGTATTATTTGTGTTCCAATATTTTGTTTTGTAGCATTTACAAGATAAAGGAAGGACGGATGACCTCTTTGGTGACCCGCAGTACCACATGTTTGGGGAAGAACTGAACAAGCTCCTCAAAGACTGGCAATCCAGTGTCCTTCCTGATGGTAAAAGCACTAATATGTTTAAAAGTGTGAAGAGATTATTGTAATGTGACTGACGTTTTGAAATGTCCAGTGATTATAACTTGCTGTTCACATTCTGAAGAGCTGTTGACTCAATCCAACTATGAGGACATAAATGATCTTTCTTTAGCCTGATTTCGAATGTTGTCTAATTTTGTTGCTGATTCTAAATATCAGTTTGTAACTGTGAGTGGTTTTCTGTTGAGGTTCTCGGTGGGGTCGTGTTGAAGAGCAGCATCTGTGGAGCAGTGGGCAGATTGGGGAGCAGACGCCCTCTGTCCTGCTGAGATCTCTCCTTTATCTCAACACCAAATACTTTGGTCTCCGCACCACTGAACAGCACTTACGCCTCTCGTTTGGGAATGTCTACGGCCCAAGCAGTTCCAAACCACACAGCCACGAGACCACCGTCTGTATACGCATCCCCTCCATCTCACAGGAGCAGCACGGTGTGTTCATCTGAAGCATTATACATGGCATAATTCATACATTATTCATTAGTATTGCTATTATTCTGCAACCAATTTTTATTGTCATGCTTTTGTGTTTAGTAATACATTTCTGTTTGAGCTGTTTTGTCTGTTCTGTACTCGATGATGAACCTTGTCTCTTCTTCCATAGAGCAATCAGGAAGTAAGAGGAGGCGTAAAGACGACTGTGACTCAAACTTTGAGGCGGACAGTGGTTCAGGAGGATCTGCTCACTGTCCTGTTAAGAAACATGAGTGCAGACTGTATGAGCTTTACCTTTCGAAGTGGTGAGTAATGTATAAAAATTTATTGTTTGTCATGCATTTGAAGAACTTCATGTAAAAGAGGTTTGCCGATCCCCTGACCAAGCACCAGCACTATTTTGGTGGGAAAGCGCAACCCAAGACCATGATGAGCTAATTCAAATTGTTCTAAACTAAGCAGTGTCCAATGATTATAACATTTGCTGTTCACATCCTGAATCATGGTGTTGACACTTGTACTATGAGGACATATAAAACTGACTGTAAAGAGCTGTGCCTGTAATAATATTTCATAATTTTACTGTTTTCACTGCATTTTTTAAATGCATGCTTGGTGAGCATAAGATACTTTTCAAAACATAAAAAAAATTCTTACTGACCCGAAACGTTTCAGCAGTAGTGTATATCTAATTATTATGCAGTGGAGAGCATAATTGTTTTATTATAAAATTTCTCTTTTATTTTATTATTATTATTATTTTTTACAATTATGTATTTAATTGATCTTATCCGTAGATATTGTATATTTAATTGTTGCCCAGTTGCTCATTTTGCATTTAAATGTGATATCGATTTTATTCAACAGTTCAACAAATATGAAGTTAATACAGAGTAAGTTTTATTTTAGACACAATTTTGTCTTTCACCAGCGAAAATAGTTCCTAACAAAGAGACGCATTTGTGTGTCTCAGAGCAACATTGCAGTGTTTCATTCATGAATGAATCTGTCTTTGAATGAATTGTCAATGATACTATGATCCATTCATAAAGACATTCATGTCACTTGTTTCCTTTCTAAATGAATCAGCCATTTGAATGAATCATTTGAAATAAATGATTCAATGAATGACTTAAGATACAGACTTGCACGACCTATTTAGGTTTTTTTAGGTGCTGTTCACGTCGCATCTAAAAATGTGTGGAAAACGCCTGTTTGTTAAAAAAATAATACAGATCCTAGTTATTATAATAAATGTTATTCTACTCACCAGAATCAGTCGCATTGAATCTCCTGTATCTGGTCCGTTCTTTGTTGATGATCTGTAGTTGAAAAAGTCCAAAGTCTGTATCTGTGGTGTTTGTGATCTCTCATTAATACTAGTCGTTCCTGAGTCGGCTTTACGTGACAGTTTTTAGTTCCAAATGTCCACAGTATCAGATCACCTCTGTGTTTCAACATCAGGGTTTAGAGTGACGGGTTCTCCAACCTTCGCTGACACTTTCTTCACTTCGTCAAAGCAACATACAGAAACAGAAATACAGAAATAAAATTTATTTGCATTTTCAACATTTAGATGGCTTTTTTTTTTTTTTTTAAGGCAGCGGCTATTTGCATTAAGTGTAAATAGCGATAGAGGCTATTTATCTATCTATCTATCATAGATATTGTACATTTAATTGTTGCCCAGTTGCTCATTTTGCATTTAGATTATTTTTGACATCACTCAAAGTTAATGAAAGTAATGTAATAACACTTTTAATTGTTTTAAATCTTTAGCCAGTCTCAAAATGAGTATCTATTTTTTTATACATTACATGCTGTTTCCTGAAATTACTTTTTAAAACTACTGATTTTGTGTGTGTGTGTGTGTGTGTGTGTGTGTGTGTGTTTTAAATAATTGTCTTTTTGGTATCAGCCAGGTTTCTAATAATCACTGAATCTCTATTCCTATTAAATGGACCCAATGGGATCTGACATCATCTCTCTTCCTCTCTTCTCAGCCCAGAGTCTGTGAGACAGAGGACCGATTTTTTGTACATGAAGCCAGAGGTCTCTGCTTCCTCGGACAGTCAGCTGTGGTTCAGCTCGACGCCTCTAGAGAAGAGCGCTTTGGCTAGGCTCCTGACTCGAGTGCTGCTGGTCAGAGATATCTATAAGGACAACCAGCACGAAGAGGAGGGAGTTTAGAGGCCGATGCTCTGAAGACTTCTTACTATGCTGTCATGACACCCTGTGCATCACCGACGAGCTGCTTTCCATGTCACACCCCGTCTTTCTCCTTTTAAACACACTGATCCCAATACTGCTAAGAGCTGATGTCAGGATGGATATTGATATTGGTGGGATTATGCTGATTCAGATCAGTCTTCCCAAAGACCCTGACCCTGAGGAGTTGAGGTTTTCTCGAGAAACTTGACCTACAGGATGCTGCTTTCTTCCTCTTCCTCTCCCCGCCCCCCCCTCCTTCTTTTCAATTTGTTAGAAACTTTGGTTCATGTAGCATTACTTGTGAGGCCACTGTGGTCTGAAAAATATTTCTGCTAACAGTCTAGTCTGTTAGCAGACAGAAGACAGGAACTTTGGTCCTGTAAAGTAATGGATTCAAGGAGGATGGCGTTTTATTTTTTTATTTTTTCTTCCTGCCCAACAAAGCCTTCTAAAAATAAAATGTATTTATTACTGTTGATTGACGTCTGTTAAAGAGAGAGTCCAAGATTTTCTAACGGCAGGGCAGGGTGTGTGTGTTGGACGCTGTGCCATGTGTGCAAAAAAACCTGCTGCAGCCCTGGACCTCTTTGTGCGAGTGGTATGAGTGTGTTTGTGAATGTGTGTGTGTCTATTTCCCTCCCCTTTCTTGTTGTTTTGGAGTGGATTGGACAGGAGTTAGTGCTGCGCAGCCAATACGTTACTGGCATTGAATCTTTAAGTGTGAAACTATTCCTCTGAACAATCAAGTATATGAAATTTGACTTTGAATTTCATCCACAGCGTTACACTGATTACACAGGTAAGCAGAGACATGTTGTCAATGTTTAAACATTGTCATAGAATTTGCTCTGTACCCTTCCTGGAGTCGAGTAATTTGAAGGATGTGCGTGTGCACAAAGCTCATTAAACGCTATGTTCAAAACACTTAGCTTATGCAAGAGTAAAAGTGATTTATTTATAAGGTACAAGTCAGTGGGGTTTATGTTTTCATGGTTTTTACGATTATTTCTTTACTTTTCTATCAATAAATTACTAGCTAATTTCTTGGTCTCATAATGGTTTACCTTAAGACCCTTTTAAAAATCTGTTTTCTGTTTAATTAGGACCATGAAATGTGAATTTCCAGTTTGTCATTTTGTTTACATCCCTTGCCTTCCATTGGATAGTAAGGGTTAGAAGTGTGTAACTTAAAAGATGCGAGTGAAGATGTTTTGTGCTTGTTAAGCCAAGCTCATCATTAGGTGTATGGGGTTTTGAAAATTATTATACTTCGGTATTCGGTATTACACTTTTTTTGCAGTGAACATTAATAATAACTCAAACCATGCAGCTTAAAGAAAAAGTTCATGGAGAGGTGAAAAGATCCACTAGATTAATGCACAGAACGATGTATAGTACCATTCAAAGGTTTGGATATTCTTTACTTTTTAATATAACAGTAAAGTTATCAAAACTTAAAAACAAGTAGTGTCCAAAAAGTTCTTCAAAAAAGCCGCTGTAGAACAAAACAACTCTAAATATCGCAAACTTTACAAGGTGCATCCTGCTGTTTAAGAAATTTGTTCGTCTTTTTGACTTTTTCTGTTGGTTCTTTTTTTGTTTTTTTCCTCAATTTATTTTAGTTTTATAAAGACATTTGCCTCAATTGATCCCTCAATTGCCTCAATTTTTTTCCCCATATTAAAATGCTTTTTCCTGTGCCAGCACAATATACAGTAAGCTGTATATTGATTACCCTATCAAGCTGTTCATATCAAGCTGTTCAGAAGTTGATTAAAAGCCCATTCACACCAAGAACGGTAACTACAACAATAACTCTGTTAGCGTCTACACCAACGCATGGTAACATTCAGTTTATTATACGTAAGCGCACATTGTAGTTTTGTCGCCTGCTGCTTTAAATGCTCAAGCTCTAAAGCAGCAATGGATTCTGATTTGTTGTTACTGTTTTTATTATTCATCAGCTGGAAAAAAAATTCTTCTGAAAGTGATTCCAGGGATATCATTCCTCTGTCGTTATTCTTATAAATGTGGTGCGGTGGACCCTATTCTCATAGAATTAAATATTAAAGCGTCTACACCAACGCATGGTAACATTCAGTTTATTATACGTAAGCGCACATTGTAGTTTTGTCGCCTGCTGCTTTAAATGCTCAAGCTCTAAAGCAGCAATGGATTCTGATTTGTTGTTACTGTTTTTATTATTCATCAGCTGGAAAAAAAATTCTTCTGAAAGTGATTCCAGGGATATCATTCCTCTCTGTCGTTATTCTTATAAATGTGGTGCGGTGGACCCTATTCTCATAGAATTAAATATTAATTAGAGCACTTAAAACTTTAGTTATCAACCTTGGTGAAAAGGCCTTAAAGAGGTAGTTCACCTAAAAATTTAAATTGTCAATTTATTCACCCTTATGAACTGTATGGCTTCATTTTTTCTGTAAAACATAAAAGGAGATATTTTGAAGATTTTTATTTATTTTTTACTATCCTGACACAGCTGGCTCAACCAAATTCAAAGAAGTGTGTACTGATCAGCCACCAACCTAATATCATGTAGGTCCTCCACAAGAAACTGGTATCTGGTACCAAGACATTAGCAGCAGATCCTTTTAGTCCTGCAAGTTGCAAGGTGGCAGCTCAATGGATTGGATTTGTTGGTCCAGCACATCCTCAGATGTTCAATTGGATTGAGAGCTTGGGAATTTGGAGGCCATATCAACATGTTAAACTCTATCATGTTCCTTAAATTGTTCCTAAACAATTTTTTGCAACGTGGCAGGGTGCATTATCCTGCTGAAAGAGGCCACTGCCATCAGAAAACACCATTGCTTTGTATAAAAGCATCTGCTAAATGACTAAATGTAAATGTAATGTAAAAGGAGTGAGCATGGTCTGCAACCATCTTTAGGTTGGTGGTACATGTCAAAGTAACATCCAAGACCCAAGGTTTCAGCAAATTGAGCTACAGTAGCTCTCCTCTGTGAGGTCAGATCTGACAGGCTAGCCTTCACTCCCCACATGCCTCAGTGAGCCTTTGTGCACCCATGACCCTGATGCCGGTTCATCGCTTGTCCTTTATTGCACCTCTTTTGTAAGTACTAATTACTGCATACCAGGAACATACCACAAGACTTGGCATTTTGGAGATGCTCTGACCCGGTCGTCTAGCCATCACTATTTGGTCCTTGTCAAAGTCACCCAATGTAGAAGGCCTCCCAAGTGAAGCCACATTGGCCAACATTTGTTTTAATATCATATTGTCCCAGAGTTGAGCCAGGCCTGCTGTTGTGATGTAACGTTGGACTATATTTATCTAGGTCGTACTTTATGAGCTCTTTCTGCCAGATGAATGGCATGAGCTCACTTGGCACCAATGGTTGGTATCATCTCCTCCCAAGCAAACACATGGTTCACAGACCAAGCCCCTTGATGGACTTTATTCCGGCAGGTGTCCCATGTCAGTGGCCGTGCCGGGACACGGGGAAGCACAAGGTCATTGCAGTCGATGGTCATGTGACAGGAAATGGCTTCCAGGAGGATACATGATGTTCTGTTTTCACTAAGGCTGCCAGAGTTGTGACTGACAGGCAGCAGTGTTATTATGGGCAGTACAGCACTCCCCTCTTCAGTATAAATAAGAGTTATGCTGCATGCTGATCTATTTATACGGCAGTGGAGCTATTGAGGTGTAACTGGAAGGAGGAGATCTGCAGAAATGAGAGCTTTTGTGATCGGATGTGTTCAGCTGACATTTCACACAACATATTTTATAAGACAGTAAACCGCTTTACTTGTAAAATATGCCAGGAAGTAAAATTCATTTGATAAAAGATTAAATGCGTTTAAAAAATGGTTGGCCTGTACAGTCCTAAAGCAGCTCTGTGTAGTTCTGTGTATTTTTGGGACTTTAGAGCCCCCTACAGTTAAGTGAGTTGAATTCACAGTCGTAAATATACCACTGTCGTAATTACAGTGAATAGATATTTACGACATTGTTGCTACCGTAAAGCAACCCGTCCTTTTCGCGCTAATTCAGTCACTAACCAAACTCCCAGGAGAGAGGTTTGAGGGGAGCGGGGGAAAGAAACAGAAGACATCTGCTCTGTTAGAAATCTGTCATCAGAATGATTATGAAACCTATATTTCAAGGTAAAAAAGCTTACGTACAGTTGTTTTAAAGAGGACTTTATTTGAGGCCAGAACATTTATTTTACAGTGGGCTCTATGGGCCAGTAAATAACCAATCAGAACACCACAGCAGCAACATGCAAAAACCAATTAGAGCCCCTTAGCAACCACATAACAATGTGCTATAAACCAATAAGAACATCCTAGCAAATGCATAGTAACATTAGTCAACAAAAGCCTCTCACATTTTCACAACTTGTACCTGAGGTCTTACATTAGCTATTACTTTGTGGGAAAGTTCTTTTTAGGCACAATCTCTTGACATTTGTTTATTCTTCCTGAGCTGGCAGCACTCTTTGATCAGATTTGTCATTAATGTTGACTGCTGAGCCTGGAGAGTAGACTCTATGGAGTGAGCTCAAACAGACACCGTGATCCATGAGGAAGCAAATCAGTTGAGAGATACCATACTGTTGATTCACAGTTTATTTGTGGCACTGATTCATTTGGGGGTGAACAGGGTAGAAAAATGTTAGTGTCTTATTAGTGATTAAATTGAGACATCATCACAGTCACAGCGTGATCCGTTTTCTAACTGAATAGTTTAATTACAAATGATAAGCATAGAAATATGAGTAAAAATAACATGAATTTCATGTTTTCTTAGTATTTTAGCATGTCCTGATTTGCTTAAACGTCCAACAGTATGTGTAGAACGTGATGATCATGTTCTCCAGTGCCATTTGCTTAAGTGGAAGAAAATCTGACATGATGTACAGAAGTTCAAAAGAGCAATGTCACAAATTTAAATATTTGATATGTGACCTATTCACTTTCATTGAAGCATTACTTTTGTTTAAAAATTTCCAAATTTCTAAATTGTTTATTTTACAGGTTTAAGATTTTCAGACTTGTGGACTTTTTTATAAATGTTAAGTAAAATCATTTGAGCCCTTTTGATACCACAGCTGGTGTTTTCCAGCATGTGTCCCTTGTGGGGCATCCAGTTGGTGGCGTACTACGTTGGGCGCGTGTGTTGGAGACAAAATTAAACCAGGGCGGGCTGGGGAGGAATGGAGACATTAAATTCTTTCACATTTGGGCGTGAGTTTTGTTTCCAGATAAATGGCCATCGCTCTCCATGAGTGCACGACTCTGATCCCTGCTTCAGGAGCACTGGAATGTTGTCTCTGTTTTTTTTTTTCTGTTTGAGTGACGCAAAGCACACTGAGGTTACCCCACCTATTTGAGTGTGCTTGTGAACTTTGGCAC